ATTTTTTAACGGTTTTTAAAAATACTTTTAGCATGCTGTTCAGTGTTTGTCGTGAAGATGAAGGCTGGGATGTCTCAGTGCACAAGTCGATCTTGTTGCTCACATGCAGTCTTGTTTGTCGACCAATCGATGAAAATGAGCATCCAGATCACCCGATACCGGCCAGTACTGTGTTCCGTTCAAATGAGCATTCAGGACTTTCAGCGTCGAGTCTTGGCGGCCCTTTCACTGTTAATGGAGCCACTGGGTCATCACCTACTCGCTGCTCCTCACCTAGTTCTGGGCAATCTGGACTTTTTCGGGTGGGCGAGTTTTTTTTACAAATATCCGTGTCTAATTTTTATCAATTATTTGCTTCTCGCTAACGATATGCTATTTAATTCTGAGTTCCTAGCATAGCTATTTGTTCTGCATTAAAAAAATATTTTGGTTTCTGCTTTTGAACGGTGCAAGCAATCGTAACTTTGCAATCACATTATATTGATTATTTATATAAGCTTCTTGTTTGCTTTATCAGTGGACTATTTCAAAAACAAGGTGAATATTGGGTGATTGTATTGTTATTAAAACAGCCTCCGTCCCAAATGCAAGAGATTCCATCCAAATTCATTTTTGGCTATGGCAAAATACTACTTTTTAGCCTTTGGTTTATCTTAACTGATCTTGTTACTACATATTTACGTCTTGTGTAATTATTTGGTTACATGCCTTTGGTAACACTTTTATTAATCATTTCGCATTACCGACTTCGATGCTTATCATATTACCATTCTTGTTTGATGCTTGATTTCCTTATTATACAGTAATACTTCAAGAATATAATGATGCATTTAGAAAGTCGTCTGATTATTAATTCTGTTTATTCATCTATAGTTAACTTATTTTTTTCTCCTTAAATCAAAATGACTCATTATTATTTTTCAAATTTATTGCTTAAGACGCCTACTCGTCTTTCCATCACCAATCAATGCCGTCAAACTAGCCTCACTGCTCAGTCCAGCCCTTCTGTCAGTCTGCATCCCATGAGTAGGAAGAGGCGCCACGATGAAATGATGGCAATGAGTGCTAGTGCTCAGGTAACCACTCCACAAAATCAGCATCAGGTCCATCAGCCCCTTTTCCAACAATCGACTCACCAGACAGATTTGCTTTTAAACCAGCCATTGCAGATCTCTACCGCTGTCACTGGTTTCTCTCGTTTTCCCCCGAGACCTCCATCTACGCCTCCTCCGTCCTCTCTTCATGGCATGCCGATTTCTCACCCAATGACAATAGTTCCCAGCGATCCACTCGTTCCTTCCGTCTACGAAAAAGCTAGGCCGACTCATCTTTTTTATAAGTAAGCCTTATTGGCCCTAGTTGTATCGGGAATTATTATTAGGCTTGTAGGTATTGTCACAGTTAGCCTTTCTTACATGCTTAAAAAATATACCCTCAATCACGTGCTCTACTCACTATCAAAGCTAAAGAATGTTCTACTAAATTTATCCTACTGAGGATAAATGTAACCTCTATCTCGTGCAATTACTTTATAGTTCGCTAGCTCGTATTTTATTGTGTTGACATCTGGACTAATAGTTGAGTCTTACAACGATACGGTCAGTAGGCAACACAATGCACTTAGTCTTTCCTCCCGAGAGGTTATCTCATTCTAGGTAGCCTCAGGTTCCGACCTCGCTAGGTCTAATGATTTTCCCCAATGAGATTTGATGCCAGATCGTTAGTATCATGGCGATGTTACCACACAACTACAAAGACAGAGGAGAGGCAAACAGTGGGTTCAGGTTAGGTCAAGGAATCATCCAACTCATTCCTATTCGGATCATTGATTAAACCTGTTTTCTGATGTACTCACTAAAG